CTGATTTATTTAAAAAAAAAAAAAAAAGAAATAAAAAAATCAGCTATGTCTGCAGACAGCTCCTTGGTCTCCAGCTTCATGAATTCCCATGAGAGCACGTACTGGGCTGCATCCAGTGAAAGTGATCCCTGTTTTTGCTCATCCTGCACATGCTGTGGAATGTGGGGATGATGGAAGGAAGTGGGTGATGCCTTGGTCCCACAGCTGCCAACCCTTGGGTGCACTGGTTGGCTGGCACAGGAACACCCATGTGCTCACACCTACATCCCACCTCAGCAGCCCCTCGAGCTCACAGGGATGCAGCCCAGTGAGAGCCCAGTAGTATTTAAGAATTAAAACCTCGTTTGGAGGGCTGAGCTGCTGAAAGAGCCATTAGCACAGCAGATGGCCATGAACAAAGGAATTGCAGTAACTCGATGTACTTTTCGCTGCTTGGGCTCTCTGACTTCATATTTCGTGTCTCCCCAGGGAAATGATGTTAGTTTTCAGTCCCTTTAACGTTTCCTCCTGTCATCATGGGGTGCTGATATGTCAGAATGTGTTGGACATTTTTCCAATAAAAAAAATTCCTTTGGTATTTGGCCCGTTTAAGAGTTTATGTGCATGGTTTCACCTTAAAACCTGATGGATGGAGGTACAGTGTGTTGTTTTTCCTGCTTGGTTTTTGTGCCAGGGAGTGTGGGAAAGCCCCAGGGCTCAGTGTCTCCTCAGAGTGTGAAGCTGCTCAGCTCCTGGACAGGGAGGATGACCCACTCTGGAGGGATGTTGGTTGGTGGAGGACAGGGATGTTCCCTGGCTCCGTGCTGCTGTGAGAGGCTCAGATGACACAGGTGTCCCCATATGTAGGTCCCCTGATCACAGGTTCATGTGGGTTTGTTTTTTTTTTTTGCAATTAATTTGAGCACAATTTGAACAGCCCCAGCCTATCCTATTTGCTTTGGCAATCTCCTCTAGCCTGTGAGATGTGCGAGTGGGCAGGAGCTGGAGATAACACCTCTTAATCCCTCCTGGTGCTCCAGCAGGAAATGCTGCTGCAGGCTGATAATTAGAAAGTGCACAGACTGTGGAAGAGATGATGTTGGCATCCCTAAATCTCTGCCCTGGGCTTGGGGGAACATCACTGATGATCTGGATTAGAAAGGCAGAGAGAGACCTGGACTTACCAAAGATGATATGTAGGGCAAACACTGTTTGCTGAGTTGGAGATCCTGAGGGTTGTCCCAAGTAAGCAGCTCTGTTTGCTTGGAACACCTGGATGGGGTGTGGAGGCTTGGAAGCTCCACTGTGGAGTTTTGAAGAGAGCTGGTGCAGTCAAGGGATCAGCAAGGTAAAATGCACCTTGCAGCAGGAGTGAGGTATGGATGGAACGGAGCTACTACTACGCAGTCTTCTGAGGGTGGGAAGCAGCCAAGAAAAATGACCCTTCACGGAGTCTGGGCTGCATCCAGCGGCAGGTGCTGAGCTGATGAGTGGCATGGATGCCCTTTCCCATCGCTCCAGCTCCCATGAGCTCCCTGGGAGTATCATGAGGTGGGTCAGTAATGCAAAACAAACAGGCAGTAATGGTCTGCTGCAGGTTCCAGTGTGTCCTGGGACCATGGTTGGGATTCCCACCATATTTTCTCTCATAGGCCTGGCTGCTGGTGTGTCTCAAGGCAGGGAGGTTGAATTCACCAGGAGACTTACCTGCTCTTTGAGGCATCAACAGGCAGTTGTCCTATCCTCTTCCTTTCCCCTTTCTCCCATGTTTTTAAAGTCACTTCCTAACAGCGTGTTTGCTCCGTTATCTATGCCTGGAATTTTTACTTCTAAGCATGTTGGAAGAAACTCACCCCAAAGCCTGGCCTTGCTCTTTGACAGCCTCCTCAGTGATAATTGTTTTCTCAATGCCAGCACCTCCCCTTGCTGCAGGGAGGTTTATGCAGCCTCTGCCCCCCACGCACCCACCCTTGTTATCATATAAATCACAAGCCAGGCCAGGGATAAACAGGAGCTGCAGTAGCTGTTAGCCGTGTGTAAAAACAAATCACATGGAAACAGTATAATTACTGAGAAAATATCAACTTGAGTAATGCGGTAATTGTTTTCTTCCCTCCAGCAGATTTATTCCAGCTCTCCCGGCTCTTGCCGGGTTGGAAGTCTGTGACTTCACGTTAATAAGAAGAATTTCACGTTTCACACTGCACTTGTTCAGAGTCTGAGCCTGACACTGTCTGGAGCAGGGGAATATATTCTGAGGGTTTCTTGAGAGCAGTAGGAAACAGAGCACTAGTTGTGATATCATTGGGGTCTACCCCAGGCTCTGGGTGGACTGTGGTCTTTGCAAACCTCTTTTCAACCCATTCTTGGGATTCTTCATGCCTTGTGCAAATCCAGGAGCTCTTCCTTTTTTTTTTTTTTTAACATCACCGTTGCACAGACAAGATTTTAACCTTCAGTTTTCGTTTTTCCTTCCTCTTGCTGCTTGTCATTTCCCTGATTTAGAGAAGTGCTTGTGACATGACAGTGCCCAGTTATGTGAGGTCCAGGGACACTGCCTCTCTCTATTGCTGTAATCATCTCCTAATACCAGATGATGATGATGATGATGTTGTTTGTGCTGTGACTTGCAGTTATTTCCCTTACTCAGCTTTGCTGCTCTTTTGCTTCATATTCTGCAAGGTAAAAACAGAAAAATACATCAGGAACCAGGTTTCCAAGGGGTTTTGTGCCAAGCAGGAGTGTAAAGATGCCCTGCCTTGCATATTGGCAGGTGTGAGATAGTATCATTTGTTTCCTGTGCACAGAGAGGAGCCTTTCTCCTCTGCATTTTTGGCAGAGAGCTTGCTTTCCTTTAGAAAAACCTACCCACCTACAAGCCACTGCCACTTCCCCTTCCTGTGCCTTAATCTGAATGAGATTTTATGAACACCTAATTTATCTTTTGCTTCTTGTGGTTGTCCTGCTCCTCTTGGCTTGAAAAAAAGCAAAACCACAAAAAAAAAACCCAATGGTTGTGGAGAACAAAAAAAAGCAAAACCACAAAAAAAAAAACCCCAATGGTTGTGGAGAAGACGAAGTCTCCCCACTGCAGCAGACTGACCAATTTTGATGTCTAATGCTGGGGAAGTAAAACAAGATGTGCTCGTTGGGATTCTCCAGAAAACTTTGAGGTTCTTCTAGTTTCTCTTCCAAATGGATGCTAGATACAACCAGCTTAGCCTTCTGGTGCCTTTGTGCTCTTGGGGCTGGATGAGCATCCAGAAGTGGTTCCCCCTGGCTGCCTTGATGTCTCCTTCAACTGGAGCAGGGTTTAGCAGGGGAGAGGAGGAGGACCACCTTCGAAGCTAAGCTCCTGTGGCTCTGCTGGGCTGTGGGTACAGCCTGCCAGGAGGGAGCTCACCGTGCTTCATACCCACCAGGACAGAAGCAGGGTGGAGGCCTCAACAGCAGATGACTCTGAGATTCTGAACAGTTCCAGGGTGGCATTTGCACACTAGCCATGTTTGTCATGAGCTACAGCACAGCTGATGAACAACCCAAGGCCATCACCCACGTGCCTTGCTAGAGAGGGGAGCAAAGAGTGGTCCATGAGCCACCACCCAAGCTCCATCGTGGCACCCTCACCCTGCAGGAGTACCAGTGTGGACAGAGGCTCAGTGGGTAGCCCTGGTAGCCCTGGCCGCTCACTGCTGGCTGTGTCAGCACAGAGGGGAAGACACTCAGCACCAGTTGGTGCAGAACAATGTCAGCTTTGTACAGAGCTGCTGTAATGAAGGTAGCAAAGTTGTGTGAACTTCTTCTCTTGTTTGCCTCCCCCCATCCCTCCCCTCTGCAGCAGCTGCAGTGTGCTGGCTGCGCAGCCTGGCAGCGGTTTACGGTTACAAACCGAGCCCAGCTCCTCTTCCTCCCCCTCCAGGAACAGAAATCCATCCACTCACTAAGCAAGTGAATAGATAAACTTCTAATTAAGGTGCTGGGTGGCTGCCAGAGAGGAGCGTCCGGGGTCAGGGTGGGCTGGTGCTGTGATCTCCAGCTGTGTGGCTGGTGGCTGTTAAACAGCTGCTTCATCCCAGGTGTGTTCACCCACGGTGGGCAAACTCATCCAGGCGTGCAGCTTGTGCTGGCAGGAGATGGGCTCCTTCACTTGGAGCTGGAGGGGTGTAGGGTGGTGTGCAGGAAAGGCTCCTGCGATACCAGCTCGTTGGGCTCAGCAAAGTTGTTTTACTGCTGGGGTGGAGCTGAGTGCTTCCATGTGTTTTCCCTCTGCCTGCACCTCTGGCCATTAGAGCTGCCCCTTGTCATGGCCACAGAGGTTTTGCTGATCTCTCCAGTCTCTGACTTGAAGGATCTTGTTGAGCTGAGATCCTCTGCATCTGGAATTTGCAAAAAGCTGTCAGTTCAGTCTGGTTTTATCTTGGCTTTCCTATCCCCTTTCTCTCCATTTCCGGATGGATGCATTTGACATCCAACACTCAGAGCACCCCTGGAGTTTAACAGAAGTTGGTGGAAGACCTCCTTTCCTCTTTTCCTCTTTCCTCCCAGAGGCTGCCCTTGTAGTCCCTTCTCCTTCAGTGTGGTTAATACAGCTCTTCTCTCCAGCACAGCTGTGACTGTGTCCGAGGAGGACATATCTGAGGTGCCTCATTTTTGCAGAGAAGATATATCCTTGAGCCATGTGAAGGGACAATGCTGCTGGGAGCTCCTGAATTGGGATGGGTTTATTGATCTTGTAGGAATGCAGGTACCACTCAAGGTGGTAGGAGCCTCTGAGGCTCTGGCAGGAGGAAGAGCTGCTGTCATGCCCCTGTGAGACTAACCTGGTACACTCTGGAGATGCTGGAGGTTACAGAGCACTGCAGTGATGTGATCTGACAGTTGGTACTCCTTAGTCTAGCAGGTTTTTTGAGGGTTTTGTGTATCTCAGAAGTCTGGGAATGGGCCAGGGAGCTGTGGGAGGATGAGAAAAGGATCCAGAGTCTCCTGAGAGAGTGATGACCTGGTTGTTTTATGCTTCTCAGGATCGTGGCCTGCCTGGCAAACTGGAGCCCGTGTCGCCTGTGAGTCCTGCTCACCCTGACACCGAGCTGGACCTGCTGCCCGCCCGGCTGTCCAAGGAGGAGCTCATTCAGAACATGGACCGCGTGGACCGCGAGATCACCATGGTGGAGCAGCAGATCTCCAAGCTGAAGAAGAAGCAGGTGAGAGCCTGTGGTTCAAAGGGGAACATACGTCCTCGTTTCTGTGTTCTGCTTGATGCCCTGTCCACAGAGGTGAAGTGGCAGTGCCAGTGCACCACGATGGTCTGTGTGTCTGCTCCCTGTCATGACATGGGTGGCTGCTGTTGTGCCAGCAGTCTGGAGCTGATAGTTGCAAGATGGGGAGAGAGCTTTGCAAACCCAACTTGTGAGCTCTTTGTGTGTCAGAGTACCTGAGAGGGAGAAACTGTGAACTCAGTGACTTGCCTGTGGACATGCAAGTGGTCAGCAGCAGAGCTGGAAGCACAGCGTGGGTTGCCTGAGTTTTCTGTACAGCCCAACGGAGCACAAGGTGTTTTCTCTTTCCTTTCCAGCAATTGTCTCTCCCCAGTGCTGTTGCTGCCAGTATTGCAGTACTGGACTGTTTAAAACATTGCTGTGACATCGTAATGGCCCTTCCTGTGTGCCTAGTCCCCTTCTCCCGGGGCTTTCCAGCTCCACAGCCGTGAGCATTGTTTGATCCAACTCCAGCCAGGACTGTGCCTGAGCCAGGGCTTTGAACCTGATCTTCCTGGTTGCTGTTTTCCCCCTGCACAGGAGCACTTCCCAGCAGAAGGATGGCCAGCTCAGTGTTGGCCTGTACACAATTACCATAAACCCATTAAGAGATTAATATGACAAAACCTTCGGGGACGTCCGTGAAAAAAACCACAGACTTGAAGGCTTTCACTTCTTACAGCAAATCACTTCTGTGCCTCTCTCGTTCTGGTTGTTTTATTTCCTTTGTTTTGGGCCAATTTCTGAACTCCCTGATAGCTGCTAATCCCAAACTGCCCAAGAGGAATGACCCCTCCCAAGGGGAATTTGGGAATGGAACAAAACCTCTACTTGGGCTGTTGGATGAAGCTCTGTTAGGATGAACATGCAGTTGATCTTCCCCATCGGGTCTGTATTTTCCCATACCAAACACTATTCCTTTATGTCCTGCAAGACAGAGCAGGATGTTTTGGTTTTGTTTTCAAACAATGTGGTCTAATTAATGTGAAGGACCATTTTTTTGGTATTGCTTTATATCTGCAGAGGTATCAGAGTGCTTAGTGAGAGGGAGCCAAGAGTGGGCAGAAACAGCTGTGTTGGGAGTGTGAGGAAGCAGCTCTATGTGCTGGCTCACAGGGCCTAAAGGAGCATCTGGAGCAAAGGAAACCACAGAGGTTCCTTTTGCTGCTTTTGGTGGGAGCTGGGTGAAGCCAGCCCTTCCCCACTCCCTCTTAGAAAGCTCAGACAAAATGTTGGTGTCCTCTCCCACCTGACAGTCTGTCCATGTTTTTAACTCACATTTGAGGAAGGAGTTGCAAACCATGGTCATTTCCTACTCTGGAAAAAGGGCTTCCCAAGAGGAATACATCCCCAGCATGGCAGTGAAGGTCCCACTCATGGAAGTGGGGAAGACTGACAACTCCAATGATCTACTGCCTGACTTCTCAGGGATGCTGAGGAGCTGATGCTGACAGGAGCAGCATATGCTCCTTGTGTTAAAATCAAGCTGTCCTTCCGTAAGGAAATGGATTTTTTTATTGTTGGCTGCTTGGTTGCTTTATTTCTTCCCTATGAACAAATTTTATGATTCTTCCTCCCCACAAAAATGCTCTGTTAAATGGGGAAGAAGACAAAAGTGGCTGTTGGCAGTAAAATCATCCCCTCCCCTCCTTTTTTATTTTATTTTTGTTTATATCTGTTTTGGCACATGGTGGCAAAGTCATTTGGTAGAAAATCTGACCCCCCAGTGTGGCCTCCTTTCCCTGCTGGCTGGAGCCTTCCCCATCCCAGTTCTCCAGCAGAGCTGGCACATCTGGGAAGAAGTGTTTTCGGGGGGGTGGGTTCCTGTCTGTGATGCCTCAGGAACGTTTTGTCCATCTGTGCATCTGAGCTGTCAGTGCAGGAGGACGAGCGAGGGAAAGCAATCAGCCTGGAACAGATACCATTCCTGCAGGAACAGCAGCGGAGCAGGGGAGAAATTGTATGCAGTTGGAATATCCTAATGCTTTTCCCCTCTGTCTTTGCGAGGCCTTCTGAGGGTAATTAAATACATTCATATGGAAAGGCTGTGCAAAAAAAAAAAAAAAATCCCAACCAACCCCAATCCACCGTCTCTCCCTTCTGGGTTGTTCCAGAAATGGCTCTGCCTGGACTTTGCAAGAGGCTGAGCTGAGCAAGCTGAGAAACCTTCCCCAAACCCTGCGCACCCCTGGCAGGAGGCCACCTCCATCAGCCATCCCCCGCTCATTCATGTGCCATATGCGCTTAAATCTCTCGCTGAGTCCTCTCTGCCTCTCTTCCTGACAGCGAAGGATAATCCTTATGCATTTATTCCTGGCAGCGGTACCAGGGATCTGAAGGAGAAATAAACTGCTGGGCTGTTCTCCTGCAGTGGCGCCTCAACCTCCTTGGGCGCCGAGCTCAGCAAAGGGCTCTCCGGGAGTACAACACTCCCACCTGGTGATGGAGGGGGAGCTGGCTGGGTGGAAGAGCTCCAGGGTTTCCCCTTCCATCTAGCTCCTGGCTGAGTTTCCTCTGTTCTTCCCTTTGCTCTTCAGAAGTGGTTTTCAGAGGTGCCTGGTGTCTGGAATCCTCTCCTTTCCATCCTGGGCAGGTGAAGCATCCCAGTACCAGGTGATGGCAGTTGGGTGTGTGTATAACGACCTTGGCTTCATCAGGCAGGTCCTTCAACACAGCGACTGGTACATTTGGGGATGAGGTCTTGTGAAATGTCACCCACTTTCCCACCAGTGATGTAGGCTCCAGTGGCCCCTCTGTAGTGTGTGGTCCAGCCAAAGGGACCCTTAACTGGAGAGGACACCTCCTCCAGTTGGAAGTGGGTTGGCCTGTAGGTGCTGTAGGAGCCAGGGCTGTGGCTAGTGATGGCATCTTGCATCCCTTCAACACCACTGTGCTGTCTTCCATTTGGGGAGAGGATGGAGCTCTCCGGCAGCCACTGCTCGGAGTGGGGAGGGAGAGAGTGTGGAGCCGTCAAGACTCATCTCTCATCCTGCTCCTCTGCCTGTAAAGGTCACAGTCCCAGACTGACTTTTGTGGCAGACCTTTAAGAAATCCATTTTGTCCCTGTCTGGGAACCCTGACCTATTTTGCTTTGCCATTTCCCACGGCTCCCGGGGTAGCTGTCGCGGGCTAAGCCTGCTGTGGTCAGGTGTGCTGCCTCCAGCCCCTCCTCACATCCTTACCTCCAGCGTCTGGCCCTTTAATAACCATACAGTGTTACACCACAGAGAGTAGTTGAATTCTCTGCTGTATTTCAGCTATAATTAGATTTGTATTTTTTCTTCTAATGAGCTGTTTTTAATGAGCCTCCACTTACTGGCAAACTTTCGTTTCCTGATGCACCATCAAACCCTCCTGTCTGCAATCCCTTACCACACACCCAACCACTTGGCAGAATTTTTGTGGGTTTCCAGAACAATGCAGCCAAGTTTCGGATGCTTTGACATTTCTTTTTTATAACACAAATATTTTCCCCAAGAGAAGTAGAAGATGTGTTTGATCCCTTTTGGTGGCTTATTCTTTGGAGTTTTTGGAGTTTATCCCATGGGAGCAAGGGTGTGTGGTAGGGTGCCTTAGGACACCAAGGAAGACTGGGCAGGTACCTGGAAATGTTGCTGCTGCACCAGGGCTGATGCCTAGCACAGCTTTGCAGCCCATGGTTTCAGCCAGGGCTTCCCAGTGAGCTCTTGTGCATGGTGCTGTGGTTTGGGCCACCTGAGATACAGCTGTGGTGGAGAAGAGAATTTAATTCTTAAATTAAGGGGTGTGAGTTTTCTCAGCCAAGCCAGTACAGCAATCTAGGTGCTTATGTGCTTTCTTGGACTGCATCCTACAGCCCTAGTGTGTCATCAGCAGGACCAGACATGATCTGGAGAAGGAATAGGTGCCAACCACCTTCTTGGACCACCAACCACTGCTGTCTCTGGGAGATCAGTAGTGCACTCGCCTCTGGTGCAAGCCATGTCCCAGGTGCATTTTCTTCCTAGTATGGGACTGACTTGATTTTTCCTATGCTTCAACAGGGGATGCTTTAGCTGGGGAAAAAAAAAAGTACAGAGATTTGGGGACTCAGAGCCAAGGAGTGAAAAAATCCTCAGTGTTTTTTGACAGCCGCTCCCTCTCCTGTGCCTGTGCTGCCCCACAGCTGCCGTGCATGGCTGTGCTCTCCCTCCTTGCAGGCTTGGCCCCAGGAGGAGCCTGGAGGAATCTGTGGTTTCCTCTTTTGGCTGAGCAGTTCCTCAAACTTGTGGGAAGGGCTTGGATGCCTCCTTCTGCCTCAGATCATCAGGAGGAGCGGGTGGAACGTCACATTTACCTCCTGATCGTGGTGATGCTCCAAAGTGCAAGAGTGGCCAGTGCATGAGTTGTTTAATCAAGAACAGTCACCCGGGGCAGCTCCTCCAACACACCATCGGAAGGTGAAGCTGAAGGTGGAGAGCAGTCTTGCTGGTAGCCCCTGGCTCCTCCACTGCTCCCTGCACACACAGCAGCTCTGGAAGCAGGTAGCAGCAGGGAGCTGGGCTGGAGCTGTGGTTCCCTTTAAGGTTTTCCAGTTAAATCAACATTTCTAGCCTCTGGCCTGCTCCAGGAGGCTCCTTGGAGGCAGCTCCTCATCCTCCATGCCTAAAACACACTGACCCACCAGCACGGGGCCAGTGCCTGGGGCAGCCCAGGGCTGCGCTTGCGTGGCAGGGGATGCTGTGCAGCTCTCCTCCCTCTCCCCATCCCTCACAGCCTGCCCATGTCTCGCAGGAAACCTCCTACCGTGGCGGTTTCTACCTCGGTCGCGGCACCACAGAAAGTCTCGTGTGGACGGGGACGGCTGCGTTTCTTGCTGTGACTCACCCTCCTCCTCCCCCCTCTCCTTCCACAGCAACAGTTGGAGGAAGAAGCAGCCAAACCACCAGAGCCTGAAAAACCCATCTCTCCCCCTCCGATCGAGTCCAAACATCGCAGCTTGGTGCAGATCATCTACGACGAGAACAGGGTGAGTCTGGAAAGGATGGAAGTACCACTGTGTGATCATGGCCTGTCACCCTGGGCAGGGTGGGAAGGTTGGTAAGGGTCAGGTGGGGGATTCTCCTGGGTGTTACCCCTGGGATGGAGGCCGTGGGAGGGGGATGGATGGAACCCTGTCATGATGGTGACCACAGAGGGCTGAGCCATGAGGAGCTCACTCAGCTGTGTGGATTGAGCACTGATGTCTTCTGAACAACCTGCCTGGGGGGTTTTCTGCGATCAGCCTCAGATATGAAGCATTCAGAGATGCTTCAGACTCCTCTCTGTTAAATAGTTTGTTTCATCCTCTCCCCCAGGAGTGAACTGGTTGAAAGCCACCTCAAACGATGGGCTTTGGCATGGTGGGGTGGGTTTCATGGACTGAGAGTGACATCCATGGCACTCCAGTACTGGCAGGACAGCTATGAGCTCTCCTGGCTGCCCCTGAGCCCCCAGGCTGGAGCAGAAAGGGCTTGGATGGAGCCATGGCTGGATTTGTGGATATTTGACACTGTAAATAGCATTAGCAAAGGTCAGGCTGGCATCCCTGGCTCTGGATCTCTGCCTTGACCGCTCATTTGTCAGCTGATGCCTCTAATAGCAGCCCTAGGAGACAGGAATTTTGCTGCTTGCATCGGAGCGGTGCTCGGAAATTGGGCCCTTTAGTAGATAATCAAGCATATTCACTTTCATTTAGGTGTGGGATAAAAAGGATGATTTTGCATAAAAGGAAAACTACCAGTCGCTAATTATTTTGAATTGCGAGGCCTGCGATTTCACTGGGAGCTGCAGAAATCCAGGTGCCTGACTCCTGAAAAGAAAAAAAAATCGCCTACCCTGCGCTCCCAGGCACTGCAGTTTTCCTGGTTTTCCTTTTTCCATCTGCTTCTCTCCCTGAGCAGGAGGAAACCCAGCGCTGGCAAGGTCTGCTGTGTGAGTGGGTGAAGGCTGTGGTCGATGCGTTTGAAGCATTAGCAAGCACCAGCTGGTGATGGTTTTACAGCACTGGGCTTTGGGGCAGGTGCTGAGTGTTCCTCAAAGCCATTCACACCACTAGGTGCCCTCTCTGAGGGTCTTGGGATAGATGGTTTGTGCCTCCTGTGCAAGGGGTGAGGTTAAAAAAAAAAAGGAGCTCTCAAGCATTTTTATTCCTGTTCCCTTGAACCCCATCTTTTGTGGACACTCGTGTAGCTGGACCATGTTACAAGGGGAAGAAATAGGTGATGGTGCTGAGGCAGGAGAGAAAAGTCATGTTTAGCTGGGCCTCAGGGCCAGCCTGGTACCAGGAGTGTTTCCTGTTAACCTTTGGGATAGGTGCACTCATTCCAGGTGGGTGCTCAGCAAGCAAAAGTCACGTTGGACACCAAATGTCTGCATAATCTCAGATCTGGCTCCGTGTTCGTATCTTGTGATCCTGGGGATGGGTGAATGATGATTCTTCCCTGTTCTTGTAAAGCCCCCTTGTACGTAGCGTGTGAGTGAGCCTGTCTGTGGGTAGGAGACTCAAACCAGCCAACCTTCCCTTTTGGCTGATAGAAACCATAGCAGGCTGCAGGGAGGTTCCTCCTTTGGAGAAGACAGGATCTATCCACGGGCAACGGAGAGTTGACAGACCCTTGCTGGCTGATTGTGGCGGCTGAGGCTAAGTGATGGAAGGACCCTTTCAAGTCCCATAGCAGGGAGATGCTGAGCTGTGGGCTCCAAGGGCAAGAGTGTACTCAGCATTGCCTTTGTTGTGGCTCCAGTAACAATTATGGGATACAGGATGCAATTGTCCTTCTAAAAAACATCCCTGGACTCAACCTTCAGCCTCTCACATATTGGGCATGTTTTGGATGCAGTTTGGTGGTGACTGCTCTTCCCTTGGGACCAGGAGGAGGAAAGCTGGAAGTGGAAAGGATATAGGAGCAGCATCAGTTGAGATCGTGGGTGGAAAAGCGTGGCTGTTACTTGGATGTCAGGTTGCTCTGGGTGGGTTTGATGGCAGCAGAGCCTCCAGGTATACCCATCCCTCTGTTGGGCATGGGAGAGCCTCAGGCACATTTGTGCTGACCTGCGGCTTTGCTGCAGCTAACACTTAATTGCAAGTTGAGTTGGTAGGAGCAAAGACCGCAAGCCAGAGACAGATGTATTGATCCAGAGTGAGGAAGGTCACCGAGCCAAATTTTAAGCCTTTCCAGCTCTTGTGTGCTGTGAAAAAGCAGTGAAGTTGATGCCTCGAGGTCTGCTTGCAGGAAAAGCAGCGGTAACGGCTGAGCCGGAGCTCAAGCCCATGCACAAAGGGAAGGAAAGCCGGATTTACTCGCATCGCTCGGCTTGTGGCTTGCTCGAGGGAGGCAGCGCCCGGTAAGAAATGCAAATAAAAAGAGGATATTCAGGCCTCATGAGGAGGCGAGGGAGGAAAGCGCCCCAGAAGAGCTGGCAAAGCCTGAAATGATCTTTAAAAGCAGCGCTGTGCAAGGGGCAGAAAGCCAGGCCTTGTGCCGATCCCGGAGCAGGTGGGAGGCGGCGGCTTCGTGGAGGGGCTTCTGCCTGGCTCTGGCTGAGTCTTCCCTGAACCACGGGTCTGTGCGCTGCCGTGCCCGTTCCCACCGCGCCTGCCAGGCTGGGCCGGAGTCGCACACTGCGCAGTTATACCCCGAACAAAGGAGAGACCCAAAACGGTCCATGGGAGAGGAGAGGTTACACGAGGACAGAGCAGCTAGAAACGCCGGAAAATCAAGTTAGCCAACCATTCTGTGACCTACTTTCCTTTTGGCGATAGCTGTGGCTTTGCAGGCGTGAATGGTTTCTAATTTTAGCGTATGGTTCATCAGGGAAGTCTATATATTTTTCTCACCACTGCGCTGTGTGTGGATGAGGGCTTGGGATGCAGGTTGGCACTGGACTGTGGCCGATTCTCTCAAAATTCAGGTTCACTGATGCTAAATGCCCATCACGCTGCTGTTCCCTCTTGTGACCTACTTAACGTGTATGATTTGAAAAGTTCCTCGGTGTCAGAGAGGATAATTATGGAAAACATGACCTGTAATCCCCTCTTGCCACACTCTGCTGGACAAGTAATTGATTTCCAGAGAAAAAAGGTGCTGGGGAAGAGTGGAGAGAAGCTGCTCTTGACTGCAGTCAAATCCTGGACTGTGAGGCTGTGGTTGCATTTGGGACTTGGATTTAGGGGACTTGGATTCTAGAAGACAGTTGATATTCAAGGTCCAGGTGCCTCCTGCCCTGGGTGTGTGCTGACTGGAGCCACTTTTTCTTGTCTCCAGAGTTGAGCTGTGAAATTGCACCTGAGAAAATACCTTCTGGGAAATCTTTGCAGTATAACACAGAAAAATGCACACACACCCAAGCCAAAATTTCAACTGTGAGTGCATACTGTGCCATTTCTGAAAGCATGTATGAGAATGGGAGTTAATATTTTGGTACTGTCCATAGGCTAAATTGAGAACAAACAGTGGGCAGCATTGTCAGAAGCATTTGAGTCCTATTTTCAAAAGTGTATTTAGTCCTTGAAGAGAAAGAGTGATGTTCAGAAACAGTGATGGGGCTAAAATCACTGAGAGCATTTGGAGAGTGCTGTGGGGAGCTCAGGAGACTGTTGCATTGGCAATCTCCTAAATTAAACCCTGTGTCCAGCCTCGGTATCTGCCCTACAAGGGGAAGGTGATCCCTGTCGGGTCTGGCACCTCAGAGGTGGTAGCTGTATGGCACAGGCTCCTTGTGGGCTTTAATTTGCACCTCTGGGATGTGTTATCATATTGACAGAATTTAGCTTTCTTCCACCTCAAATCCCCATAACCAGGGCAGCTCATCTGTGTGTATTTTTAGCTGTAGCTTTATTCCACTGGGCTCTTCACGGGATTCCTTTGCATCTGCATTCCCTTGAAATCGATTGAGCATACCTGGGCCTGAAGATGTTTTTGTACTTTAAGTGGAAATTTCCAGGTCTCTTGCTAAGCACAGGCAGGGAGAGCAGTTGCTGTTGCTCCAAATTGCTCTCTATGCCTTTCCTGGGATGCAGAGCTGGCTGAGCTCTCCTTGGCAGCGTGTCCTGAAGGAAATCGCTTCCCAGCAGCCCACCATGGCTTGCCTGGGTGAATTCTTCTCCAAGTCACCTGGGTGCCCAAAGTCCCATCAGATACCATGCAGAGGTTCCCATGCCATCTCTCTGGGCGAGGAGGAGCCCACAGGTGCCCATCTCCAGTTCTTTGTGGGACAGATACAGGTGGTTGGAGTCTCCCTGCAGACCTGCCGTACATCAGAGCCAGCAGGACTCCTGCTCAGACACCAGCAGATACAAAGCCAGCCCCGTGCTGTGTCAGGCCTGTCCCTGCAAACAAGCTCACGTCAGCTTTCCTCTAAAACATTGCGCTCATTTATCGGAGAGGGAGAGGTCACGTCAGGACGTGGCGTGACTTCGCCCTCCAACACTGTGCCAGAGAGGGGACACCACGTGCTGTGACCCACCACGGTGTGGAGAGGGCTGGACTGGGTCCCCCCGTGTCACCCCTGTGGGTGCCAGCACCTTGTGGCACACCAACCCATCCCTGCTCTGCTGTCAGCCCTCCGAAAAACTGGGTTTGATGCAATGGAAGCAGCAGCAGTGCCTGTCTTGCTCTTGAGATTGAGCTGGTGGAAATCAATAAGATTAAATTTTAATTCCTTTTCTGTCTCGATGCTTGTTCCTTCCAAAGGGCACAGCTATCTATCTGTAACTTCAGCGTTATGCTGTAAAATCGGAATTCAAAGGACTGTTTGGAACTTTTTCCACCCCCTGCTGCTGTTGTGTCTGTGCAGAGTGTGTTCCCTGCTATCCGTTTACCCTCCTCAAATACCTTCATAAAGCATTAATACTCTAGCCATAAATAAGAGAATAAATAAATGAAGGCTTTTAGCTTTGCAAAGTATTAACTACTCACAGACACTGAGTGTGACTCAGATCCTACCGGGATTTTCTGTCTGTAGGACTCTGATTTTCTATGAACTCCT